CAGGCCTGCGGGTGGGGATGCTTCCCCCTGCCAGCCTCCAGGCACCTGGCCAGGCCCTCCTCAGCCTCTCTGCCCTCCTCAGGGTGGTGGAGTCTCTGGGCCCCAGGAAGATTCCCTCCCCGAGACTCGCACGGTGCTCCTGCTCACGCGTAGTCACAGCCCAGAAATGCCTGAAAGCAGGCATTCTCCCGGACCTCGGCGTGGGGGAGCCTCCAGGGGGGCGCTGGGTGTGGAGCCGTGGTATGGTCTGTCCTGGATGCTGGCCAGTGCTTTCTGCCAGCACTTCTGGATGGATATAGGGACTATCGTTAGTATCCTCATATGTGGTGATTTTAAAAAACCATAAAATTCATTCAGAGTCCACCAACCCTCACAGATCTAGGTATGCCCTTACTGTAGAGGGAACTCTGATGATGAAATGCTGGTAAATTACCATTTTTTAAATTGCTGGTGAGTCTGACACTTGGTGAGTTTTCAGCCAGTTTGTTAAACTTTTAATTAAGTTTTGTTTATAATAAAAATATAAATGGATTTGAAAGTTTCAATTTTTTTAAAGTTACCCTTGTTTTTCAAAGGTATTTTCTAAACAGATCTTTAATGGACTATTTAAACTGAGCTTAAGGGATTCACACAGGCTGATGGGTAGCGCGCTGCCAGCACAAGGCTGGGTGATGCACACCCTAAGCCGGGGTGCCTGGGCATGTAGGGCGCTCCTTGCAGTGCCCCTCCAGCCGCAGGGCAGTTGGTGGCCTGTGTGCACTATGAGGGGAGCGGCTGGCTGCAGGGGCAGCGCAGCAGGAGCACCGTGGGGCCCTTCCTTCTCGGCTGGTTCTCTGCGATGGTGGCATCATGCTCACCTCCGCTCCTCTCGTCTAGAAGCTGCTGACCCTGACGGCCCGCCAAGGGCACACGGAGCAGCTGCATTGGTGCTGTCACTTTTTTAAGGCTTTCTGTCCAGACTTCAACACTGGTTTCTTTTCAGTTTCGAAGGATTGATGTCTTCCTCAACGCCCTCGCCGGCGGGCTGGGGGTGACGGCCACATCCATTTCTTCTGTATTAGAAGGCCGTGGTGATTCAATTAGATTGTCCCACTGCCGAGTCCGGTAGGGCAGCTTCTGTCGTGCTTTTTTCAAGGGGAAAGGAGCAGTGACAAGTCGTGTGTGGGAAATGGATTTGAGAACGCTCTGAGTGACCCCTGGAGGCCGAGGGGGCAGGCTTCGGGTGTGAACTGAACTCCAGACCCCTCTGTGCTGGGCGGTGGCATCTTGCTTACAAACTGTAAGACACGGTTTCTTTTGTGTTTGTTTTTGGTTTTCTTCTTTGGCAGCACTCACGCCTCTGACAGTCTTTTGGGAAAGAGTAACACCCCACATAAAGAATGTGTCACATCCAGTGTAGCACTGTTCTCTAATACTGGCATAACGCTTCCAGGAAGTTTTTCTTTTTTATATTTAAAATGTTACTTTTCTGTATGATGTGCATGCAAGTTTACCGTAACTTTTCTTAAACTTTTTAGTGCCGTTTCTAGTATATTCCTGTAAATGTCAGTTACTGAAAATGAGTCCAATGTAAGTAGTTTTAGCTTGTTTATTGCAATGCTGGCCTCAACACAACAGAATAAAAATGGTAGAAAGTACTCTTTGATGTTTCTGGTAATCATGGACCCTTCTCCTGGGGCATTTGTTTTGTTTTCATAATAAAAAGCAAACAAACAAGGCTGTTTTTGCATTTTTCTGTGCTTTCCGTGGGCGCTCCCAGCCTCTCTCCTGGAGACTGGAAATGTCTGGAAGCAGCTGGTCTAGAACAGCCTTCACTCGTCCACAGTGAGGGTGGCAAGCTCCCCACACTTGACATCTTGTAAGTGCTGGCGGAAATACCCAGGGCATCCAGAAGGGGCCCAAAAACCATTTACAGGCAGGATGCCGTGTCTTGTGCCTGTGACCCCAGCACTTCAGGAGGCCAAGGCAGGAGGATGGCCTGAGGCCAGGAGTTTGAGGCTACAGTAAGCCATGATTGCACCACTGCACTCCACCCTAGACAACATCGCTATTCCTTTTTTTTTTTTTTTTTTTTTTGAGACAGAGTCTCGCTCTGTCACCAGGCTGGAGTGCAGCGGCACAATCTTGGCTCACTTCAACCTCCACCTCCTGGGTTCAAGCAATTCTCCTGCCTCAGCCTGCTGGGTAGCTGGAACTACAGGCACATGCCACCACGCTCAGCTAATTTTTTGTATCTGTAGTAGAGACGGGGTTTCACCGCATTAGCCAGGATGGTCTCGATCTCCTGACCTGGTGATCCGCCAACCTCAGCGTGCCAGAGTGCTGGGATTACAGGCATAAGCCACCATGCCCAGCCAACATCTCTTTGAAAAAAATAATAACCTGAATACCAATAAGTGGAGATAAAAGAAAAAAAAATAATAACCGAACCATTAAATAGCCCTTGTCCTGAGCCCTGGCAGGATGAAGAGAGCCTCATTTCTTGCCTCACTAGGAAGCTACAATCTGCTTTACTGACAGTTAACTGGTTCCCTGGTACAAGCGGCTCTCTTCGAGACAGCCAAGTTCTGTGCTCTTCTAGTTGACCTGGCCGCTTGTCCCCTCCCTCTGCACTTGTCTGCCCTGAAGTGTCTTCCTGTGATTCCACTCAGTCCTAATGGACATGTAAATAAAACCCCAAAAGGAGCTGTTCATAGGGAGGTTTAACTGCCAGACTGCAGAGGCTGGCGTGCAGCGAGGATCACTGGCGAATGACGTGTCACCTCACAATTGATGGTACTGGAACTAGGCCTGGAAGAGACATTCCAGGGGAGAAGGTTCTGGTTGGGCACACGTCTAGGTCTGAGGACCTGCCCAACCCGACCCCACACAGGGTCGGGGGCATGGCATCACTCCTGGCCAGACTAAGCCTTCTCATCCAGACCAGCCTCCTTGAGGACAGACATGGGGCCTTGTCCGCCCCAGGCAGATGGTGTCTTCATGCAGCCTAATCAGCTTAGTGTCAGCTGATCTGTCCAGGACCCACATGCCCTGATCTCTGCAGAGACTGGCCCTTGAGCACACATCCTCCCAGCTCTGCACGTGACCGCAGACCCCAACCTTCGTGTCAGCGCTGCCTCCCAGGCTTGGGGCCAAACCCGCCACAACCCGTCCTCAGGTGAGTCTGTGGTGCGGCAAGGTGGTGGGACACAGGTGTTCCAGATTTGCCTCTGGAGTTTGCTTTCTCCCCAGGCAGGACTTAAACAATAACTGAAAAAGATGTAGACAAACCCTAACTATCGGATGTGGAGTGCTTCCTTGATGGGCCCGCCCTTACTGTAGGAATGTCAGCCGGCAGGGCAGGTCCTCCAGCCCTGAGTTCACTCCGTCTGCAGCTCCATATGGCAATCCTGGAAATCTAACTTCAAACCTCCCAGCTGGAGGCTGCAAACAAGCCAGGAATCTCACAGAAAAGACTCAGGCTGCGCAGGAGGCTGCTGCCAACCAGGCCTCTGGCAGGACATTGGGGAATGCAGTTTGACCCAGCAGTTCCATCTCTAGGATGTTTGCAAATGAACTTGCACGGCTGCAAAGAGAAGCGTGAAAAGAGAGCACAGGCACATTCAGACGTGCTGTTTGCACGGATGACACCGTGACGCTGACTCTGCTCATCTGTGGGCTCACAGGAGTGTTGCTAGTCACATACAATAAAGCATGAAGCAGTCGGGGCGAGGTGGCTCGCTCCTGTAATCCCAGCACTTTGGGAGGCCAAGATGGGTAGATCACCTGAGATCGGGAGTCTGAGACCAGCGTGGCCAACGAGGTCAAACCTCGTCTCTACTAAAAATACAAAAACTAGCTGGTCGTGGTGGCACGCACCTGTAACTCCAGCCACTTGGAAGGCTGAGGCAAGAGAATCACCTGAACCCAGAAGGCAGAGGTTGCAGTGAGCTGAGATTGTGCCAGTGCACTCCAGCCTGGGCAGTAGAGTGAGACTCTCCAAAAAAAAAAAAAAAAAAAAAAAAAAAAAAAAAGAAAAGAAAGAAAAAAAAAAAAAAAAAAAAAAAAAAAAAGCATGAAGTGAACGCCCAGACCGTACAGTTGAGCAAGAAAGAAAATGGCAGAACAAGAGGCATGGTGCAGGATGAGGCCTTCAGAATCACGTGGCTGTGCGCACGGATGAGCCGCGTTCTCCTCAGGGAGAGCACGTTTGCTTTGCTTTATGCCTTTCTGTACTGGAGTTTTTAGCAATCACTTAGATATCACTGTTATTTAAAAAATGGGAAGCCAAATAGGATGTTACTAACAAGGATAAAAATAAGAATGTCAGGAAGGGGAGGTGTGTACTAAAGGATGTTTATTTGGAAAAAAATTAGCTTTGACAAAAGACACCTACACATTTGTGTAGCCGAGCAGATGTGAGGGCAGAGGGCGAGGCCTTCATGGAGACTGCACGCACAGGTGGCCAGCTGTGGCAGCAACAGTGAACACATGACAAACACTGAATGGAGGGGAGCAGTGGCCTGGCGGCAGAGAGGCTGAATGCTTTAAGCCTGACGGAGAGCCTGCCCTGCTCAGCCTCGTCACTACACTGGTTCGCTGTAGGCCACACATGTGCAACTTACAACTCTCGAGTTTCCTGTGTTTTGGATGCACTGGCTGGTGGGCCTCAAATGCTTGGAAGCTACCATGATGCTTCACACATGACGATTGTTTTGGGGACTCAAAATACAAGTGCAGGCTTGGTGCAGTGGCCGGTACCTGTAATCCCGGCACTTTGGGAGGCCCGACCCCATGACTGCAAGACCAGCCTGGGCAACACAGGGAAACCCTCTCTATAAACACTAGTTTGCCTGTAGCCACAGCTGCCTGGGAGGCTGAGCTTGGGAGGATCACCTGAGCCCTGGAGATAGAGGCTACAGTGAGTTGTGATGGTGCCACCGCATTCCAGCCTGGGCAACAGTGAGACCCTGTCTCAAAAAAGCAAAAAACAAACTGTAAGTACGACAAAGGTCCCGGGGAGATGCTGCTGCTACTCACCATGTGTGCCAAAAACAAAAGAAAACCAAGACCTTTACAAACTTGAAGAGGTGGTTTGCAGTGGGGATGGGAGGGTCACTCTTGGCTTGGTTTAAACCAGGCATCCAGCAGTGCCCAGGCCTATGCTGTCCGTAGCAGCACCTGGAGGATTCGAATACTACAACAGCTGACCATGAGGGGACTCTACAGGGGACATGTCCTGTGCACCAGTCACACCGCTGCTGGGCTGAGGGGCTCGGGAGCCGACGCTGGGCTTCTTGAGCTCCTACACCGCACTTTGATCTTCACATTCATCATTCAAAACCTTCCAGCAAGACACCTGAATTAAACCCAGGTCTGTTTTCCTCCAAGTGTGGTCCTGGGCCCAGGCCTTCACACCGGAATCACATAATTGTGCAAAACTTGGACTGCCCTGTGTCCCTAGAGATGTCGAGCTTGTTTTTGTCTCGGACCAAGATGGCCTCATTTCCGTACTGTGAGTACCACATGCTCCGGCTCCTGCTCAGGTACGTCCCGGGCGGCACCGACTCCAACTTCTGCTGCTGCTGCTGCCAGATGAGCAAGGAGGTGTCCCTGTACCGGAGGCGGGCGTAGCCTTCAGACAGGGCCTTCTCCGCCAGGGGGACGCGGCCACTCATACCCTCCCCTGTGCTGCTGGACTCCTGGGAACCTGCTGTTCTGAGACGGGCCACGCGTGGACAGCTGCCACACGCTGCACACTACTTAATGGAGAGCTTTCCCAGCTTTGGGGTTTAAGGATCCCTCGTTTAACTGAATGGTAGAAATTAGGAATTCAGCCCATTTGCAGGCAGCGTCTTCAGGAGCGTTGTGTGGTGAAGAAACGTGAGGCGGCCTCGCCATTCTGAAGACACCTGAGGCCCATTCAGGGGACAGCAGGCAGGTCAGAGCGGTGCCTGGCCACAGCTCTTCCGGGTGCAGCTGTGTGGAAGTGACAGGGGCGAGGCGTCACACCCTGGGGGGTGATTCTGCCACCACGGCCTGGACCACTGAGCTTGAAGAAACGGATCCAGCACGCTGAGGAAGGGACATGGTGGAAGGCGCTCCGGCGGCATGCCCGGCACGCATCCGCATCCGTCCGGGCCGGCTTCGGGGCGGCGGCTGTTCCGACCCACGTGGGGGATCCGGCCCCAGCGTCTGTTCAGGTCTCGTCTCTCCCTAGTGGTGCTGCTGCAAAGGAACGAACGTGCGGTCAGGCGAGGGGGAGCCAGGCAGGCGGCCGTCTACAGCGCAGCGCCAGCCCTCGGGGGGTCGGAGGCCGAGATCGAGCGACTTACGAGCCGTGGCGCAGCCTGGGAGCTGCGCGCAGAGCGAGACGGGCGCGCAGTGCCAGCTTTCGGTCCCTGGGCGGTATTGGGGCGGCTGCCTGTTGGGGCTTCAGGGTCTCCGTCTGTGAAACAGGGGCCAGGGGCGCCTGGAAGGGCGCGGGCTCCCGGAGACGCCGCCAGGCGCCCGCCCCGGGACCCGCAGGGGCCGCCTTCCTGCTCCGAGCATCCAGCTCCCGGGAGGCCCCTGGACCCAAACAAAAACCATGTCGGGCAGGAGCAAGCGAACAGGGAAGCACCGCAGCCCACTCCCGACCGCCCTCCCGGCCGCGCAGCGTCAGGGATCTCCCCTCCCGGGTGGCCGCGCTCGGTCGGCCTCAGTGATCCGAGCCCACACCGCGCGGCCCCGCCGCCTGCGCGCACCCCGGGGCCCCCGTCCCGTGCCCCGGACCCCGCGCGCTCCGGGTCGCCACATGCTCCCGCCCCCTTCGTCCGCTCGCCTCCCCGGGTCCCCCACGCCTCCCGCCCCAGTCACCGTGCGTCGTGGGCCTCGGAGGTGCTGGCGGCGAGGCCGACGCGCTGCGGGGCTCCCGAGGCGGGGCCTGGGGCCGCGGGCAGTGTCTCCATGGCAGCGCCGCAGGCCTGGCGAGCCGAGCGCAGAAGCGGGGCAGGCGGGTGCGACGAGCCCGAGCCATCGATCGCTCCGTGAGGCGGAGCCTGGAGCTCGCTTCGTGAGGCCCGAGAGGGAGCTGGACGAGGAGGAGGAGGGGCTGGAGGAGGAGGCGCTGAGCGAGGAGGAGGGGCTTGAGGAGGAGGGGCTGATCGAGGAGGAGGGGCTGAGCGAGGAGGAGGGGCTGGAGGAGGAGGTGCTGAGCGAGGAGGAGGGGCTTGAGGAGGAGGGGCTGATCGAGGAGGAGGGGCTGATCGAGGAGGAGGGGCTTGAGGAGGAGGGGCTGAGCGAGGAGGTGGGGCGTCTATACTGCTCATTTGGACTCCTCCACAGCCCCATGAAAGCAAGGTCATTTCCTTCCCTCACTCCACCTCCAATCATACTCCAGTAGCACTCTGTTTTAGTATCTATCCTTTTCCCTTAATTTTATGGTTTTTCTCCAATGCCAATTAAGAAAACTAGCATAATGAAGCCTGGTGTGGTGGCTCACCTCTGAGTCCCACCTGCTTGGGAGGCTGAGGCAGGAGGATCCCTTGAGCCAGGAGTTTGAGGCTGCAGTGAGCCATGATCATGCCACTGCACTCCAGCTGGGGCGACAGAGCAAGACCTCCTCTCTAAAAAAAGAAAAACAGAAAGTGAGCATAATGGACATACAAGGAACACTAAGCCCACAACTGTGGAATGCGCATTCTTTTTTTTTTTTTTTTNGCTTCGTGAGGCCCGAGAGGGAGCTGGACGAGGAGGAGGAGGGGCTGGAGGAGGAGGCGCTGAGCGAGGAGGAGGGGCTTGAGGAGGAGGGGCTGATCGAGGAGGAGGGGCTGAGCGAGGAGGAGGGGCTGGAGGAGGAGGTGCTGAGCGAGGAGGAGGGGCTTGAGGAGGAGGGGCTGATCGAGGAGGAGGGGCTGATCGAGGAGGAGGGGCTTGAGGAGGAGGGGCTGAGCGAGGAGGTGGGGCGTCTATACTGCTCATTTGGACTCCTCCACAGCCCCATGAAAGCAAGGTCATTTCCTTCCCTCACTCCACCTCCAATCATACTCCAGTAGCACTCTGTTTTAGTATCTATCCTTTTCCCTTAATTTTATGGTTTTTCTCCAATGCCAATTAAGAAAACTAGCATAATGAAGCCTGGTGTGGTGGCTCACCTCTGAGTCCCACCTGCTTGGGAGGCTGAGGCAGGAGGATCCCTTGAGCCAGGAGTTTGAGGCTGCAGTGAGCCATGATCATGCCACTGCACTCCAGCTGGGGCGACAGAGCAAGACCTCCTCTCTAAAAAAAGAAAAACAGAAAGTGAGCATAATGGACATACAAGGAACACTAAGCCCACAACTGTGGAATGCGCATTCTTTTTTTTTTTTTTTTGAGACAGAGTCTCCCTCTATCGCCCAGGCTGGCTCGATCTTGGCTCACTGCAACCTCCAGCTCCCAGCGGTGATTCTCCTGTTTCCGCCTCCTGAGTAGCTGGGACTACAGACGCCTGTCACCAGGCCCAGCTAATTTTTGTATTGTTAGGTTTTCACCATATTGTTCTTGAACTCCTGACCTTGTGATCCGCCTGCCTCCCACATTCTTTTTTGTTTTGTTTTAATGACGCTTTTTCGTTGGATTCACTGTCCCCACATTCTTTACAAGTACACAGGACATTTACCAAAACTGATCACGTGCTGGACCATAAATCAGTTTCAACAAATTTCAAAGCATTTAAGTCTTACGTAATCTCCCAGTCTTCCGACCTAGGAGAAGACAGCAACCGAAGTTAAACAGCTTTCGAGAGACACAGAACAGGCCTGTATTCAAAGACCCATTTAACAATTTTGCCTCTATCTGGCCGGGTGTGGTTTTCACTCTTGTGATCCCAGCATTTTGGGAGGCCTAGGCGATCGGTCACTTGAAGTCAGGAGTTGGAGACCAGCCTGGTCAACATGGTGAAACCCTGTCTTTACCAAAAATATAAAAATGTAGCCGGTGTGGTGGCAGGTACCTGTAATTCCGGACACTTAGGAGGCTGAGGTGGGAGAATCGCTTGAACCCGGAGGCGGAGGTTGCACCACTGCACTCCATCCTGGGCAACAGAGCGAGACTCCGTCTCAAAAAAAAATGTTTTTTTTGCCTCTATCTGAGTTAATATAATTTGTTCATTTCTTCTATGCCTTGAACTAAATAATTTGAATATTTAGTTGCCTGTGAGCTTCCTTTCCTGTTGTTGTCAAAACTAGATAGGGCTTATATTTCTGTTCGAAACATTACTAATTCTTCATGTTTTGTCTTCCAGAGTCAAAAAAACTTTTTTCCTTTTGAGCTATTTATAGCTACAAAAATTAAGTGAAAAACGAAGATTATCTCTCTCTCTTTTTTTTTTGTTTTTTTGTTTTTTTTTGTTTGTTTGTTTTGTTTTTTTGAGACGGAGTTTCGCTCTTTTTACCCAGGCTGGAGTGCAATGGCGTGATCTCGGCTCACTGCAACCTCCGCCTCCTGGGTTCAGGCAATTCTCCTGCCTCAGCCTCCCGAGTAGCCAGGACTACAGGCACGTGCCACCATGCCCAGCTAATTTTTTTGTATTTTTAGTAGAGACGGGGTTTCACCATGTTGACCAGGATGGTCTCGATTTCTTGACCTTCTGATCCACCCGCCTAGGCCTCCCAAAGTGCTGGGATTATAGGCGTGAGCCACCGCGCCTGGCCTCTCTCTTTCTACCTGATATCTCCAGAATCCGAAAATGATTTAAAATCCCTTTGGGCCCAATCTGATTTGATATCAAGCGCCCTCCCTCTAGGCCCAGGGACGTTTGCAGAAGACGTAAACGCATGAGAAGGTAAGAGCTGGTTTTGAGGATAAAGTTTGTTCAGACCCTCTCAATCAGAGACAGCTCACAGATACCCAAATAGCTGGCAGCTCAATACATAAAGCTTACAGGTAAGTCAATTTTGTAACTTTGCTTTTTGGTGTTTGGTTTTTAGCTCTTATGTTGCATAAAAGGTTCTTTGTTTATTTTTGAGACAGAGTTTTTCCTGTTGCCCAGGCTGGAGTGCAATGGCGAAATCTTGGCTCACTGCAACCTCCGCCTCCCGGGTTTAAGCGATTTTCCTGCCTCAGCCTTCCAAGTAGCTGGGATTACAGGTGCATGGCACCATGCCTGGCTAATTTTGTATTTTTAGTAGAGAGGGTGTTTCACCATGCTGGCCACGCTGGTCTCGAACTCCGGACCTCAAGTGATCAGCCTGCCTCAGCCTCTCAAAGTTCTGGGATTATAGGCGTGAGCCACTGTACTCAGCTTGCACACAGGTTTTTAAAGTTAATGAATGCCTGCCCGTCTCCATTCTTGTCTGTCCTGAAACAATTAACTGTCTTTAAATCTTTTGGCTCTAAGTAACTTGGCCATAGGGGTCCCACTAAGGGATAAGATGGACCCAGGGCACATTGCACGCCACCCCAGCAGCTATAGGGGACAAAATAAGTTTGGCCATTAATGCTATTGCTGGCAAATCTTGGCCAAAAGAAGGGAATATGACCTAAAAATAAAATTCTAAACTCCTCGCTGACTGAACGGATCCCCTCTTGGCCAAGGGGACCTCAGAAGAAGCTGAAAACTGAGTTCCTAGCCATGATGGGTGTGAGGTCCAACTGCCACCGTTATAACTCCTCCCTTTTGTGACTTAGCTACAAGTCACTAGCTTGTGTTAAAATAGAGATTATAAGACTGAAAAAGCAGACATGTTGTGGCGATAAGACACCAAATCATAAAATAAGACCTGTGCCTGGGCACGGTGGCTCCCACCTGTAATCCCAACACTTTGGGAGGCCGAGGCAGGAAGATCACAAGGTCAGCAGTTCGAGACCAGCCTGGCCGACATGATGAAACCCCAACTCTACTAAAAATACAAAAATTAGCCAGGTGCAGTGGTGCACGCCTATAATCCCAGCTACTCGTGAGGCTCAGGCAGGAGAATCGCTTGAACATGGGAGGCGGAGGTTGCAGTGAGCCGAGATCATGCCACTGCACTCCAGCTTGGGCAACAGAGCAAGACTCCATCTCAAAAAAAAAAAAAACGTCCTGGCTAATTTTTTGTATTTTTTTTTTTTTTTTGAGACAGAGTCTTGCTCCCAAAAGCCAGGCCGGAGTGCAGTGGCACCTTGTAGGGCTGTTGGGCCCCACAGGGTCGTGGGGTGTCCCTTATGCTATGCTGGAGTGTAGGATCTGAGAAATAAAGAAACAGGACACTGAAGAACTGGAGAAGAGCAGCTGGACTCGGGGGCCATGCCACCTATGAGTGGAGACAGGCAAGGCCCTGAATGCCCAGAGCGTCTGTATTTATTAGGTACAGGCGGGGGCAGGGTCGTGAGTGAGGTCATCATCTATAGGCTTAGTGATAGGGCATACATAATCACGTGAGTCTCAAGCAAGGAGGCCACCCCATTATGTCACCTGGGCAGAGAGGTGGGCCATACACAGTAGGGGGCCATGCTGTGCACAGTAGTAGAGGGTCATGTACAGCAAAGGGGTCCACCCCCATTACGTCACCGAGTCAAGGAAGTGGGCTGTGTGCAGCAGGTGTCGTGCGCAACACTGCTTATCTGGGGGCTGGACACTTCAAAGGGTTTCTAATAGAAGGATACTGTACGCCAGCACAGTGGGAGCTGACAGACGTGTGCTCTTCTCTTAAGATACCTATGGGAGGATGATTTGAGCTAGCACAGAAGCGAGAAAAGACTGACAGGGTGTACAGCCACCGTGACTGGTCACACCCGAGGGGTTCTTCTCCCTTGGTTATTTGTGTGATCTCAGGCCTGAGGCCTACTTTCCACAGGAGCTGGATGCA